AAGAAGTGACTAAGTGATATGTTTCTCCATCTGTCATGCTTGCCCTTACCTCACAAGAAAAACATTGCTTTTTAAAACATCAGATCAGAAACTGTTCAGAGGCCTAGATATTAATAAGGAAGAACAAAGAGAAAGACAATTAAATAGAGGTTGCTAATATTCTCTCAGTTACTCAAATTCATTCCACAGCATGCATTATGAAATTAATTTTCAGGTGATGCACATATAAAATCTTCCCAGGCTATTGTATATAGAGGAACAATCTGTTGCTGATGGCTTCTTCTATTGTGTTTTGGCTGGCGCCTGACTGAATCATCACCTTAACTCTCTCCTAGCTCCTCAGCTCACCCCTCCAGCCTGTAAATTGCTGTAGTGCCACCCCAGCACTCTGTTTCAAACTGGCTTCCTCCCTCACTCATGTCTCTTACAAGTCTCTAGTGTAAACAGCTGGGCCTCACTGCTGCATTTCCTTTGTCCACATTCCTCTGTCCCAACCATCAGGTGAAACAGCCTGACTTCCATATTTTCCTCACCTATAATAGTAACCTTGCTTTCTTTGCTTTCTTTCAGTTTCTCAGATCTAATCATTCATCCATGCTGTCTCCCTCCTTCTCAATCTCCCAGTGTTTCAGCTCGAACCGCTTACCCCCATTTCCTCCTTGTGTCTCCTCTCAAACCATTAGCCCACACTTCTGCCACCACTCCTACTGCCTTATATCTTATCTTTCACCGGCACAAATTTTAGCTCGACCATTCCCTTTGTGCCAAAGCTGTAATTAAGAGGCCATATTGATTGCCTCTCTGTCATAATCACCAACCAATAACTCACATTTGGGAGCTTAGCAAAACATGTACCTGATATGAAACTGTGTTATCAGGGATGATACTGGAGCAGTAGAAAGGCACAGTTTCTAACTGACTTGACCCACTAACAAACAGACAGAGAGCAAGTAAGTACAGCCGCAAGCAAGTACCTTGATTCTGAAATAAAAATGGGTTTGGTGAGGTCATGAATTTGTTACATATCCAATACAGGATCATGGAGGAGCCGGACCCTATCCTGGCAAGCAACAGACACAAGGCCTTGGAAAGGATGCCGGTCCACCACTGGGCACACTCACACCAGGACCAATCTTCCCAGCAGCCAATTCCCTAGGAATAACAACACCTAAATATTAAGTGTAATTAAATGTTTATGGGATGGTTTAGCCACAAAAGTTGGCTTAACCCGCTCGCCTAGGGACTAACCTATTGGTCAGTGGACGAGGGGGCTAGGACCCCCATGAAGAGTGAGGAGTGACTAAGGGGCAGCTGCAGAGATGGAGACGGGGTGGAGGTGGGATGCAAAAAGATGGAAAGAAGGGGATTACACAAAGTATTTATAATGTTTTAGGTAAGGAAATGACATCAGAAGTGATTGTGAATTACTGACAGTCAAGTCTGATTGAGCTCGGCTGCTGTCATCCCTCCTAAACTTTCATTTTAAACTACATTTAGCCTACGGTACCAGCATGTCTTTAGACTTCAGGGGGAAACTGGGGTACCCGGAGGAAACCCATAGGAACATGGAGAGAACATACAAACTCCACACGGATCCCACCCAAGGAATTGAACCCAGGGCCCCTGGGCAATACCAACTATTGAGCTTGTTAAACATTTCTTAAAAACTTCTTCCAAAACTCCAGCTCTTCATGCATTATGGGCTGAGAAATACTCTGAATAAGAAGCAAAGGCTCTTAAAATCCTAAAGCATTGTATTTATATTGAGAATACTTTTATGGGAGAGTTAATTGGGTTTTTGAGGGCCTTCAGTGTAATTGTAATCCATTCATATATCACAAATAATTATTTCAGTTTTTAGAGTTTATCTAGCCCCCACTAAGCTGCCAGATTTGGGGAAAACTTCGAGAATTTCAAATTTGGTTAAAAAGATGAATACCCTCAGATATCAGATAGGCACTGCAGTAGACATGGTGTCTGTTAAATCCTTAACAAATCTCCTACTAAGCCAAAGTATTTTGTAAGGAGCTCAATTAGAAAGTTTTTTAATGAGAATTTTTATTATACAAACAAATGGTGAAAAACTTCAATTTATAATCTGTAGAATGATATTTGCAAACTCTGCAAATTTGCAAGATTGTAGTGTGATGTGCACATGTGATATTTTGAGTATGAAATTTGTCACAAAAATACATTTTATTTTATGGTCATGTGCAATGGGGAAAGCATTGCTAGGTAGTGATTTGTTCAAGACAATGTGGGTATAACAGATCTTAACCCCATTGTGAGGGACCTAGGGACCAAGTACCTCACGAGTTTTTCATTACACTGGACATTTACTGGGGGTGTAGACCATTTATCTCCGGCTGGCGGTGTGACTGTGATGATGCTTTTAACATACATAACATACTTGAACTCCAAGGGTGTTAAAATTCAGATCAATCTCAATCAGTTGCTGACGTCAAGTGAGCCTTGCCAGCAAGTATTGTAGGATTGTAGTGACATCACTCTGGAGGTTTAAATTCCCATTGCAAGTCCTTGTGCATTTCAAACAACGGCACTGACCGTATTAAAATGCATCTGAAGCCTGTTTCTTCTTGCATAGTGCAATACTGGAGTATTTGGAACTTGAGTCCTTCATTTCAATTGCTAATGAAATGTAAATTAATTTGCTTGGATTTATTATACTAGAATTCCCTTGCTGTATAGGGCAGTCATGCATCTCAATTCTACAGATAAATATGTTAATTACTTTTCTCTGGCATGAAGCTAAATTACGGTAATTCAGTATTCCAGATATTTGCTTTGTGAAGCAGTAACTGCAAGTAACTGCAATCTGGCCACGTTCATTCCTGGATTTGTGTCTGGAGCCCCATAATCTAGTGTCAAGGAGATACTGCATGATTTATCTTTTGATTTCAGGCATCCTTTGAATAAAGAACTTAATTCAAATAAGTATTTGTCAAAAGGAGAGCATACAGAACTCAGAACTCATTTGGTATTAAACAACAGTAGAACCTGGAGCATCAAGACTGCAAACCTCTAATTTAGGCTAATCGCTAGACTTAGCATTAAAAAACAAAATTACGTTATAAAGCACAAACCGGAGCCAGCAATTGTTATATGTGAAGGATAAAGGTGGCACACAGTTCTGTATAGCAAGTATATTATAAGTATATAGCAAGCACGTATATGCACGGTTCTGTATGGCACCGGTGTGTTTCTCTTTACATGCTTTCTATAACTGTGTAAGTGACACTTTTTTGTCTGTTTGAGGATAACTCTTCAGTGGAGCCTTAAAATGGTGCTGAAAGGTAGTATTTGGCAAATCACTGTCTGGGAGAACAGATAAGCTTTACCCTTAGTTATAAGGTATCCAGCATAAACTGATTGAATCCAGGTGGCTGTCTTTTAATTCAGAGAATCAATTGGGCACTCTCACCACAGCAACAGGACACTGGCACAAGGCTGACGCCATGGCTTATCTGATCTCTACTAAAGATGATGGATAACTCATCCCAGTTGGGTGCTCTACTTGCGCTTTATCTGTGTAATTGGGAGTTCTGTTTATTTTTCCAATTCTTGGGAAAGTAGAAAAAGAGCAATTCTTGCTCCTGTTTTGTTCCCAAGTCTTATTGGAATTCCACAGCCTGAAATGCTGTACCATTCTGGTTAGAGCGCTGGGATATTTTAGGTTGTTTTTTTGTTTGCCCTCTTGGTTTTGAACTGCTGTTCAAAAACTGGCAAAGTAGCTATGAGCTAACATAGCATGGGAACGTCCAAGATCTATAGTAACTGGCAAGACATAAGAATGTTGGGTTAAAAAAGTGGATTTTTTTTAAGGAACAGGAACAACAAACTCAATGGTCAGTAAGTGGTAGGTAGGGAAACTGATTACATTCTGTTTCATCATATACAGTCAGTGTTGTTTTGAAATACAGGTGGGTCTCGACACCTGTGAAATTTAACATTCGCGCATTTGCTTATTCACAACTCGGTCTTGGACGACGCAGTCTTGGATGGAAGAAGAGCAGAGAGGGATGAAACCGAGTTGAAGGTTAACTGCAACTTTCAAAACTTTCAGATTAGCTCCATGTCAAACTCAAACCCCAAGACAAATCTAGCATGTGAGCAAGCCTCTCCTTGCTGCCTGCACAAGTACCCAACATCCACATCTCAGCGTGGTCTGTTTTTTTATTGTAACAGACACTTCAGGTTCTGTGTCAGCAACATGAGGAATGACACACTGGAGATGACTTTACAGGTTCTCTGACAGTATTATTGCCTTTTTCACAGTGGGTGTGGGCTAATCAAGCAGAAAATGAGCAGGCATCCATTGGACACAGAGGAGTGATTTGTTTAGTTTATTTTAGCTCATTACTGTTTTGTTTGTTTTAGTTGGTCAGTGTTATCATAATTAACCTATAGCCAATGCATTAGACCTTTAAGTATAGATTATACAGTATGTACTGTAGTACATTATGCAATGTTATAGGGGTTGACTTGGTTATATGTGAATTTGACTATTTATGAAGGCTCTCTCCATTGAATGTCGAGACCTTACGATCTATTACTACTGCCGATTGACTCGACAAGTCATGTCATCTGATATACAGTTAAGACTTGAAGTAGTCTGCATTTTTATCAGGCACCTTTTAAACTTACTGTGAACTGATCCAGCCTGACAATTGAAAACCTGAAGAGTTAATAATTAGAAATCAAGGCTCCTTGCTCATGAGGCCATGTTGTGAGCAAGCTGCTAACTGGTACTCTTTTATTTGTAACTGGAAGGCCACTGACAGATTATATTAATCACTCCTTTCCGAACCTAATTAGAACTCGGATTGCTTTGAAAAGCAGTGCTTTTAGTCAAACAGGAGGCATGTTACTTGAAAATAAACACAGAAAATGTATCATGCTTGTTGATAAGACTGTTTTCTCTCTCACACAATATCTGTTCAAAAATTTCTATTCACTTTGCCTTCCTCCTCCTTTTTCAGATGGCTCGTGGCATGAGCTCCTCCCACTGTACCACAGAATGGCACACCGAACCGCAGAGCTCACACCCGTGTCCATTCTCTACCCTAGGCCCAACTCCACCACCTTCTCACCACTGCCAGCTCTCAACGCCAGCCAGCCCAAAGCCAACCTCTCCATTGCCATGCCCTGCTTCACCATGTCCCTGGGCGCCATCTCCAACCTGATTGCTTTGGGCATCCTGGTCAAATCGTATGCCCGCTTCCGCCGCCGATCCAGGACCACCTTCCTGCTCTTGGTTGGCGCACTGCTGGCCACCGATCTGGTAGGGCACATCATCCCAGGCGCCTTTGCACTTCGGCTTTACTTGGCCAAGATGCATTGGTCAGCTGTGGACCGTTCGGGGGCTTTCTGCCAGCTGTTTGGGGCCTGCATGGTGTTTTTCGGCCTGTGCCCGCTGTTCCTCAGTGGTGCCATGGCTGTGGAGCGCTGTGTGGGTGTTACTAGGCCCCTGCTTCATTCTAGAGCAGTAACATCTACCCATGCCAAACTGGCAGTGGCCCTCCTCTATATTCTCGCCCTCCTGGTCGCTGCCCTGCCCCTGGCCAAGGTAGGAAGGTATTCCCGACAATTCCCAGACACCTGGTGCTTTCTGCAGGTCCATGGAACTCTCTCGCTAACAGATCTAGGCCTCACCCTGGTCTTCTCGGGCCTGGGCCTTGCCTCGCTGTGTCTCTCCCTTCTTTGCAACTCCCTGAGTGGGCTGGCTCTGCTGCAGGCCAGGCTGGGGGGAAGTCAGAAGCTGCCTGGTGCCCGTCAGCACAGCACCCAGTCCCATGACATTGAGATGATGGCCCAGTTGGCTGGCATCACCCTGGTGTCCTGCATCTGCTGGAGCCCCTTTCTGGTGAGTGATCTGATGTGTGGGGGGACAGGGGGAGGGGATAACCCAAGACACCAATTATTCACCAATTCTATCACGACAAAATATGAGCCCAAATTTACCCCTGAGAGATCATCACATTTTCTGATGATTTTCACATTTCTTTCTTCATTAAAATTGTGAAGGCGACCGCTAAGAGATGCCTGCTCCAAGTACAAGAGCATAGGGGAGGTTACAAACGAGAGGAGGCCATTTGGCAAATCAAGCCCTTTTGGCAGTTGGTAGTTAATGAATCCAAGAATCTCAGACAGCTGTTTTTTTTAAAGAAGCTGCTTTCAACTTCAGCAACATGGCTGGGTAGCTTGTTCCATCTTCCCACAACTCTCATTGTAAAGAGGTGCCCCCTATGAGCCAAATCATACAGGAACAAGGATGATAAAATTGGATGGAATTGTTCAACAAACTGCTATTTCCTGTTCCCTTCAGAGTAAAATCATAAGAGGGTGGTGACCAGTGTTTTATTTTCATTTTCAAAGGTATTCAAACTTCACGTTACCTTTCAGTTCCTTCTGAGAACTACCACAATATTTACCTAATAGAGCCATCTGTAGAAACATTCCGTATGACTTATTAAGGATTAATGGGAAAACAGAAAAAATTGTTTTGAAACACAATAGTTATATAATACAGATATAATTTCCATTTTAACTATTAATTTTTTGTACCATCCTTCCTTGTTCCAGTGCTTTTGCCTACATTTCTTGGTTTGCGTTTGGTGTAACAAGAGAAAATACAGCATTAGAACTAGATTTCCTGTAACTAATCTAATCAACGTCTACCCTGCAACGTAGATCAAAGTCTCCCTCCAGTGGAAACAATAGCAAAAGCACTCTTTTCCCATCTGAGTTGAAAAAGTTGTATTCAAAGGTTACATTCAGATATAGGAAAATGTGCACTGATATTGAAAGGCAGTATCCCAGCTTTTTTACTGATTGTGATTGGATCTCACCTGTTTTGAGATGAGATCTGAGCACTGGACCTCACTCATGCCCTGTCTGATTTGCCGCCTCTGTCATCTCTACAGATCTTCATCTCTCTCTCAGTCAGCAAGTCCTTCAGCGGCACAGACTATGACCTGCGGCACTACCAGTGGCTGGTGTTCCTGGGGGTGCGGATGGCCTCCTGGAATCAGATCCTGGACCCCTGGGTTTACATACTGCTGAGGAGGGCAGTCCTGAGGAGAGTGTACAGAGTACTGAACCCCCATCGCCAGCTCGCCCACAGCTCCTTCAGGACCATGGAGAAGGACCAACAGAATGCCTCCCTGCACTGAGCCAGGTCCACCCACGGCTCTGTACCCAGGTACCAGATTAAGAAATGCCTGGATCTCGAAAAAACAAATTTCCAGCTTTCAACATCCGCTCTACGTTTCGAGCAAAGACCCACATTTTCCCATTTCCTGATCATGTGTAGATCTGGCAACATAGAGGACATGGTCAACCAGAAGGAGCCAGCCATTCTCTTTGTATGCCAGAAAACTGATGATACTGGAGGGGTCTTTCATACGAAGGCATCCAGGATGCTTAGAACCAGCTGCTTCACCACATTTCAGAAGGTAATTCAATGGGAATCTCCAAAAAGCACCTTGAAGAGGCCCAGCTGCAGAGTGACTGAGGCGGGCTGGATATTCTGCTCCTGTGTGTCATTTTCCCTGTTCTGATGAGAGACTCACTTCACCTGCACAGTCTTGCAGGCCTCAAAAAGCATGGCACAGGAAGATCCAGACTCTTGGATGGAGCTGATGTAGCTGAATGGAGCTACAGCCATCATCCCAGGTGGCAGAGTGACATGGCAACAGGACCTGCTGCATCACTGCTCTTGGACCTTGAGCTAGATCGTTGACTGGGGAACCTGTGTGGAGTTTGCATGCACCCTCTCCCCTCAAATTTGCATGGGTATTACCTCCCAAAACCCAAAGCGATGATGGTGTGGTTGGGCTTAGCTGGTAATTGGAAACTCCTTTTGTTGGTGGCCCTGCATTGGAGTGACACACTGTACTGCCCATAAGAGCTGTCATGTGCTCTCAGTCCTGCATTGTACCCTACTGTGCTTCTGGGATAGGCCCCGTCTGATTTTACGATAAGGGATAGATGGATGCATGGAATTCCACCCACGGTTCTATATGACCCTGCCTCGATTCAGACTTACAATCTCAAAGCTACTTAAGGCTCTTACATGAGTTTTCTCAATCGTTGTTCATGATTCGCCAAACCTGAGAAAACTTGAGCCTTGAATTATAAAACTAAAGCACATGAACAAAGTCAAGATCTAAAAGATTAAGCACACACTTGGCAAAGCCATCACATTCTAACTTTTTCTCCCATTGCTGAATAAACAAAAAACACTACATCTGTAATGCGAGTGGGGGGGTTAAACTAATCTGGTGGTGCCCTTTGCCTTGTCACTCGGACACACTTCGGCACTGTGAAATCATCAGTCCAGGCATTTAGGATACCAACCCAACCTTTCCTGGCACAGGACCTGCATATGGAAGAGTCTCTTAAACTGGGGCATTTTTGCAGGGAGCTGTCGAGGAGAGCCTGCATCTGAGGGAGGGGTCACCTGCAGGCATCAGGAACACCCTGGGTCTTGCCTGTCTTTGTGTGGCAGAGGGTATGTGTACTGAGGTCACATTTTCCCTTAATCCTATTGTCTTCACACAATGGCTACTCTACATATTAGGTAGAAGATCATGCTGCATCACAAATATATATACAGTATACATACATCTGTTTCAACCTTTGGTGTACAAAACTGAATGACAAGAAGTCATCTTTGTATTTGCAACAGGTGAAACCTGTATTACACAAGAAAAAGCACTACTACAGGAGGCAGAACATACTACACATGGTGGGGCAGCGGATAGCATTGCTGCCTTTCAGCGCTAGGACCCTGGCTTCAAATGTGGACCGTGGGTGCTGTCTGTGTGGAGTTTGCATGTTCTACCCAGGTTTGAGTGGGTTTCCTCTGGGTGCTCTGGTCCTCCCACAGTCCAACGACATGCTGGTGGGTTAAATGGCTTCTGGGATTTTTGGCTGTGGTGTGAGTGAGTCTGTCTGTGTGTGTCCTGCAATGGATTGGCATCCTGTCCAGGGTTTATCCTGCCTTGTACCAGATGCTTGCCAGGATAGGTGGGGCTTCCCCCAGACACTGAATTGGATGAAGATATTAGAAAATGGATGAATGGACTACACTAATAAAACTGATCATCATGATCTTATTCTCCTTTAACTTCCTTCCTCTCAGCACTTTTACCCAACAGGTAGAATGTAGGGTTTCTTTATTTACGGGAATGGAATGCAAATTGAGACACAGTACGTCGTGTAAATGTAAAGGCTCACTTATATCACAATAAAGGAGCATTACTATAACCTGAGCCGTTCTCTTTCTGAACTTGATGTAGTTGTATTTTTCTGTGCATTTGCATTCAGATGATAACTGTTGATTTGTGTTTGCGGGGGTGTGATTAGAGAACTGGTGGGAGTTGTGTTTCTGTGTGTTCATTTCTGTGTAGTGTGTGCTCAGGGGAAGATAAACACAGAATCCTCCTGGAATTTGAACCCAGGACCAATGCTCCTGAAAACTCTTTCACACTATTACCTTTACTGATATTTATTTACTGATTACTGATATGATACTAATTAACCAACCTGCCTGATAAATTGAATATATATATAAACTGTTACATTTTGCCAGCATGAAATAAATTATTTTATGTATTCCCAGGGGGCACTGTGGCGCTGTGGTCAGTATGATTGCCTCATATTGCTGGGATTCTGAGTTCAATTCTGGACCTAGGGTGCCGTCTGTGTAGAGTTTGTATGTTCTCCCTGCATTTGCATAGATTTCCTCTTGATGCTCCAGTTTCCTCCCACAGTCCAAAGGCATACTGGTAGGTTAATTGGCTTCTGGAAAATTGGCCCTGGTGTGAGTGTGTTTGTGTCTGCATGTGCCCTATGGTGGGCTGGTGTCCCATCCTGGGTGTACCCTGCCATGCATCTGTTGCTTGCTGGGACAGGCTCTGGGTCCCCCACTCACCCTGAGCAGAAAAGAAAGCAAGATCAGCTAGTGACTTTTCTCTCTATAATGGAGTTTTTTTACTGAATCACTCCCATACATCTGATCAAGACACAAAAAGTTTAAATTTACTAAGAAGCAGATCAAAGATTGACTTTAAAAGTCTTCCTTTCTTTTGATGTGCTTTGGCCAGAAGAAGGTGGGACGTAGCGTTGTGAATATATGCACATTGTCAGCACGTGCGAATACTGTGATAATTATAACGTTGCTACTATTACAATGGGTCTTCAGAGCAATCACTGGACTAGAGTCTATTATTCCCACCACTAGATGACGCCTTCGTAGAAAGCTAGTCCTACACAAAATGACATTTCCCGTCATGGCCTTTAGACCAATGAAAGTAAGTGATGGACCTCAGCGAGAGCAAATAGAAGCGCTCTGTGGGTGGGCGCTGAGGGCAGAAGGCGGGTCTTTAAAGGTGGGGAGCTCTCTATGAACTGTCATGTCCCGGGGGTGACAGTGATCAGGTGGACTCTGTGAACGGGATTGCTGGGCTGAAGGGGGGGGTGCTATCCGGGGGCCAGAGCTTTGGTGTCCGCCTGAGTCGGGAGCGATTGGATGTCGGGGTCAGTAGGAGAAAAAACAACCGCAGGACCGGGAAAGGTGGAATAGTTTTGTTTAAGGGGGCTTTGCGTGTGCGGTGTTGGACCAGCGGAAAACCTGACGCCGCGGAGAGGAAGATCCGCCGGTCACTGGTGTGGCCACTGGGAAGGGGAACCGGGGCAGGGGACGCACGGAGACCGGCGGCGGACGATCCCCAGCCTGAGGGGAGACGGAGAAGATTGTCGGCTGTGATTGTCGGGGAGGGGAGGGGGTGGAAGAGACTTGACAAAAGCAGCTTCTACACTGAAGAGGTATGTGTACCCTTAAAGCGCTCATTAAAATAACATGTGAATCCAGAAAGCACACGATCAGTAGTCACAGTTCACAGTTTAGGGCTGTTTTGACAAAACACCGGCAATATTCTACGGCTAGGTTTGCTGCTGTGCTGTAACCGAACAGCCTTAAAGATACAGAAAAATACAATTTCCCTATCTAACTGTCGCAAAAGGGTATAACCAGTAACAAAAGTCTTAACACTTTATATCTTGACCATTCTAAACGGTTAAAAAAACACAGTGTACAATATACATGTTGTTATATATTGTTGTACCTAGAGTACAGATATTGAATTAAAATTTAAATTGAATGAATTAATGTATTACAGTTAAAATAACCGGATTAGTTACCGTAAGAGAGCTTTTGTCAACATGCAAAACAAGCTTGAAAATGTTCAAACATGTAATAATATACTGTAAGTAACTCTTTTACATTGGGAATGCCAGAGAAAATTGTCCTAAGTTGTTAGAATGATTGTGAACTGCCTCAGGATATGTAGCTAGTAATGTTAGCAGTACACATGGCTGATGTGGTCGACTCACTTTATTGTAATTTTTCACATCGTTTTCAAGGAGGGATTTAAAAAAAAAACAAGGGCATTATGACACCATCTATAATCTTCAAAGTAAGTAACTTGAAGTGAAAATAAAACACATGCTCTGTTTTTAGCAACAATGTCAGACACTTGTTCCATTTCTGTAATTGTGTTAAAGGTCATGTGCAAGAGGGTATTTCTAAACCCTTGGAGGATCATGGTATAGTGGGGGTGTAAATCTGTGTGATCTGCAGTGTGTTAGAAGATGTCCTTCTCTCTTGGTTTAAGATGCGGACCCTGGCTGGTGCCACACTATCCCTGGGCTCTCTGGGGCTCCTGCGCCTGTTTGGGGTCCCCTGGTCCTGGAGCTTGGCAGCCAGTCTGGGGGTCTACCTGGGCACGGGCGGCTGGCATTACTTCTACATTGTGCTCAGGACAGCTAAAAGGGACCTCAAGTAAGCACCGCTTCTGGAAAGGGCATCTGTGCATTTGCAGGCGATTCCCCGAGCGTGTGTGCTGCCACACCAGGGCACCCTGCAGGTCAGGAGACGTGGAACAGACAAAGAGTGATCACAGCAAAGCTGTGACTGTGCGGCGAAACACGGTCAGGAGAAAATGCTGGGTAGACAACGTACCAGTATAAAAATGTGAAGTTTTGTAAAGAAGTGTCAAATGACTGTGTTTTGCAAAGAGTGTAATAATATGAGACCATGTTTTTAAATCCTGTTTACTCACAGTCCCTGTTCTTCCGATCCTTCCCCCTCACTGTGGCACATCGGAGCACCACTGGGGCTCCTTGGGAGTCCCACAGAGTGTCAGACTCTACGAACCTGTGTGTGGAGTGGGTCCTCTTCTTGATGTGGAACCCCATTTCCATTTGCCCTTCATGTCTGTGACCTTTCCGTTCTTAAGTCCTGAAGTTTCAGTAAGAAGCTTCCTTTTTCTGCAATCCAATATTTAAGATAAGATAAGATCACCTTATTGGCCATATACAATTTCTTGAATTAGGAATTTGTCTTTTCGCATACCCCAACTTGCTCTCCATGACACAGATAGACAGGGAGAAAAGTTTGGGGTCAGAGCGCAGGGTCAGCCATTTATACAGCACCCCTGGAGCAGCTGGGGTTAAGGGCCTTCCTCAGGGGCCCAGCAGAGTAGGATTTCTCTGCCAGCAGTGGGATACGAACCGGCAACCTTCCAGCCACAGGCACAGATCCACCGCACTGCCCCCTTGCCTTCTTCATTGGAGCATTTCGGGCTCATGGATATGAAGGTGGATGATGTCAGACAATCTAGAGTTCGCTCCCAGTTCTGTGCGACTCGTGCTCTTTATAATGAAGTTTCCCGAATTGTCAAGTACGGTTGCCGTGTTTCATGAGCGTGTGTTTGCTGAAAGCCAAAGCTTGGGTGAGGTTGAGGTCGCTGCCCTGCCGCTGATGGCTGCTGCTGCTCTCTCTCCCTGTCCCTTCAGAGGCCTGTACGTCCTCCTGCGGGTCAAGCTGGCCCTCCGCCGGCACCTGCGGGCTGGCAGCACCATCCCGTCCATCTTCTCGGAGACGGCGCGGGCCCACCCCGACGAGCCGGCCCTGATCTACGAGGCCACGGGAGAGGTCTGGACATTTGCCCAGCTGGAGCACCGCTCCAACGCCGTGGGTCAGTGGGCGCTGGCGTGGGGGCTGGCTCCGGGGGAGGTGGCAGCCATCTTCATGGAGAGCCACCCGCTGATGGTAGCCCTGTGGCTGGGGCTGGCCAAGGTGGGGGTGGAGGCGGCCCTCATCAACTTCAACCTGCGCCGGGACGCCCTGCTGCACTGCGTGAGCGTGTGCGGAGCCCGGGTCTTCATCTTCGGGGCGGAGCTGGCCGATGGTGAGTGCTTTTTAAATGCTGGGGATGCATTTCTTTTTATCCAATCTACTTAGAAATGTTTCGAGTAGGGTAGCTGTGTCCGCATGCGTAGGCTGCAAAGGAACAGGTAAAGGTTTATTCCATGCTGAAAGGAAAAGAGAGGAGACACAACATTTTAGCTGTGAAGCTGTGTCTATCTAGAAATCTGCTTTGAATTTATTTGTCAAAACGTTTTGCTCCAGCAGCCAGTATTTCTACCTCAATGCTTCATCTCTAAACAACATAAGTATTATTACTCATTCCTTTTTTTGAAGGACTTTAAATACCTTATTTGTTTGAGTGTTTTGTTGCCACTCCTTTATTGTAAAACGTTTCGAAGATGTGACAGAAGAGGTTCTGTGAAACACCGCAGGAATGGAGGGAGTGACTCTCCTTAAATCCGGCTCGGAAAGTATTCTGACTCCCCCCTCGTATTAACCTGCTTGTCTCTCTGCCCTTCAGCTGTAGAGGAGGTGAGCGACTCCCTCAGTAAAGCCATGGTGCGGTTCTGCACGGGCGATATCAGCCCGGGTCGCCTGGCCGCCTTGGGAGCCGAGCCCCTGGATGTTCTCCTGGCCTCGGCGTCCCACGTTCACCCTCCTCGCACCCACCACAAGGGCTTCAACGGTACGTGCTGCGAGTTGAAACCTCCTCTGGGTTCACCTTCCCAGTAATACACAGGAATGCTAACAAAATCCGCTGGCTTGTCCGAATAGAGTTAAAACATCCCTCTTGTAAGATCAGCCTGCTGAAATGTGGAGTCATGATTTAGGAGAGAAGGCTTGTATGGACCTTCCTGTAATTTATTGAGCCACAATACCATTTGAAATGTAATTGGGATTGTGCTTTACTGGTTATTCTTCCCTTGATCGTGCTTACATATTGGGTGGCTTGGTGACACAGTGCTTAGCATTGCTGCCTCACAGCGTTGGGGCCCTTGTTCAGTTCCTGATCTGTGGTGCAATCTGTGTGGAGTTTGCATGGGTTTCCTCAGGGTGCTCCGGTTTCACAGTTGCAAAGACTTAATTGGCTGTTGCAAAAGGTTAATTGGCTGTTTGGAAAATAGGCCTGGGCTGAATGTGTGTTCTGTAATGGATTGGTGTTCCCTACAGGGTGTATCATGACTTGTGCTGCCGGGACAGGCTCAGGCTCCCCTCCGTACTGGATTCTGTATTGGATAAAGGATTTCGAAATAAGGTGGACTGATGGATGCATACATGTATGAATTGTTTGAACAAATCCTCAGGGTTTCAAGCAGCAACAGATCAGGGCTCGAATCTGCATGAGGAAAAACCCCAAAGGAGCCTTAACCACTCAGCCATCACAGCTGTCCTTATATAAATCACATCGCTGTCATGGTACTCATGTCCAGGCTCTCAAAGGAAGGGTTTTCAATCAGGGCTCTGGAGACCTTGGGGCATCTCCAGGGGCTCCCCAGAAACTAAGAGAAAGTTTTAAGCCCCTACCACACATGCACCTCAAGAGTAGTGTGTGTAGTCAACATTCACTGAGCAGGTCTGCTGTGACGGTGCTTACAGTAGGCTTCTTTGGTTTGTGTTTACACTGAGAAGGATTTCTTCTTGAAAAGCCAGACCAAAATTGGCAAAACACTGTTTTAAAGCATCGGCCTGGCTTTCGGCATTCTAGTGTATTTTACAATTACGTGTTGGAGAAACCTTCACCAATCTGCTCAGCCTTCTGCATGTGAGTCTTGTGCATGTGCGCAATGAGTCAGGGAGCTTGGTATGTGTTGCTCAGACTCTGGACACTGGGAGAGAGGTGACAGTATGACGAAATCTCCTAAAACACTCCAGTGAGCCCAGAAAACTCAGTCACAGTCCAAAATGAAACTGGAGCACGTTTTGCAAATTGCTGACGCAGCCTGCTGCTCTTCTGCTGTGCCAAGGCAGTGGCAGGGCTGTCAGCGATACTTGAAATTCAAGTCATTTTCAGAATATTTATCCTCTAATTGCGGCAGAATGCTGACATCGATTTCACCCAGCACTTGATAGTAAAGCCACCCCATTTTTATGCTCTTGCTCTTTCCCTACATTTTCAGTTGCTACATTAATTGTTTGGATTTTGTTGTAAATGTCAAGTATGGTGGCAAAGAAACATTCATGGACTTAAGGTAAAAATATAGCATTTGGTTTGATATGTGGAACAGAGCGAACAGCACTTAAATGCTTTAGAAAGTAAACTGTAACTGATCTCTTTGGGGAAACAGCTGAGTAAGGTCTTAGATATGTAATGCAGAGAATTTGCTGAGCTGAAATATATTTAGAAAACGCCATCCTCATTCACCTTCAAGATTAGCTTCCTGTTCAACTTTGCTCCTGTGGCTTAAACCCAGATTGAAGACTTAGCCTGCAAAGTTGTTCCTAGAGTCAAGAATACCCTAGTGAAATTGAAGTGTGGGCTACTCAAAAATAGGAAAATTATAGCCCTCCCTTTTGAGTTATTGCAAAGGCTTTCCAGGAATGGGCTCCTTTAGGGCTGTATTCCTTAGTGTTTTCTGATGCTTCGTTTTGTTTTAAAGAAAATCATGATGTTAGAAATCTAAAAGGCAGACTTCTTGAGGCAATTAGTAAAATTCTTTTTCCTAAAAAATTGGCATGGCTCTACTACATAATTGCGTGATTCTTGGATGTGATCAGAAATTGGCTTGTCTCCATGGGCTAATGCAGTGGTTCTCAAACTTTTTTGACCAAGTACCACCCCTAATCCAACCAAAGCATCCAAGTACCACCTACAAGTCATCATCTCATAGGAACCCCAGAAATTATCAATGACCAACATGAGCGCATGTGCAC